CCCCCATCCTCCCCACCCCCTCTACCCGACCCCTCACCAAGGCCCTACCCTGGACCAGATTGGGACCTAAGCGGCCCCCAGAACCTTCCCCTGGGCTTACATCTATCTTCGGGCCTATATCTACGTCCCAGAATATATATATTCATTATGGCTGAGGTTATAGCTAGTAAATACATTACAGGGAATACAGGGAAAGCTGTTATACAATATCTTATATACATATGGAATTGACAATGGAGGGATTAAAAAACGAAGTTTGCAGCTCTTGTAAATTTGGGATTATATTTGTCATTTTATATTGATTTTATACACTAACCAGAGCTACTTGTCAAAAATCATTAAATTAATTAAAAGAAAATTAAGATACCTAAATGTCGGGCCTTTTCCTATTCAAACTTATAGCTTTCCCAACTGTGTATATCCATTCATGTAAAAACCAATATCATTAATTGTTTTATAAATATACGTGTGACAAAGGAGAGATTTACATGTTTTCTTTCATTACAATTAAGGGGACTTTTCCCATCGGATTTGCACACTGTATGCATTTAATACATCCCCGATATCCAGGGATTCCGCTCACTTTCGCTCTCTGCACCCCTGGAATATGTCATAGAAAAATTGAAGGCTCAGTTTGTACCACCTTGTTGATGAGACAAGAAGAAGAAGACTAGTTTGATCCTTTGATGTACATCAAATGAATGTCGCGGTCGCGTAACGGTAAACAAGAGGCCAAGGGGGCCTGTATCGCTCACCTGAATATTTAAGCAGTCATATCAAAATATTCTCATCAAATATTATATTGCACTATAAATATTTCCCTCGCAAACTTTGTCGGCTCCATCTGTTGAAACTACCAGCCAAATATTATTATAAGATTCTATGCTTTTTTATTCTTTTTCAGAAGTTGCTTGACATATTTCTCCTTTGACCTTGTAGGTAGGTCAATGTCATTTTCCTTCTCAAATTGGTTAGCTCTGTTCAAAAATGCTACCTGCCAAATCTTCTGAATCCATTCAGTTTAATTCTTTAGAACAAATACTTTAAATTGTTGTTGACCACTGTAACCTCTAAAGTAGGTTGGGGTCATTTTCATTCGCATATTTTGGTGAGCTCTTCCCCAGGAAGTCACCAGCCAAATATTATAATTTTATGCCTTTCGATTATTCAGAAGTCATATGATATTTTGACACATTTGACCCCTGTGACCTTGAAAGAAAGTAAAGGTCATTTTTATTCTCAAACTTTGTTGGGCTCCATCCAAGGAAGCTCCCAGACAAATATGAAGATTCTATACCTTTTAGTTCTTCAGAAGAAGTCGTTTGAAGGGTTTGTTAAATTTGGCCCCTGTGACATTGAAAGTAAGTCAATGTCATTTTCATTCTCAAACTTTGTTGGGCTCCTTTCCTGGAGGCTACACCCACATATTTAGCTTCTATACCTTTCAGTTCTTCAGAAATAGTCGTTTGAAGTGTTTGACACATTTGACTCCTGTGACCTGGAAAGTAGGTCTAGGTCATTTTCGATCTCAAACTTTGTCGGGCTCTATCCCAGGAAGTCATCATTCAAATATAAAGATTGTATACCTTTCAGTTCTTCAAAAGAAGTCATTTGAAGCATTTGACAAATTTGACCCCTGTGACCTTGAAAGTAGGTCAAAGTCATTTACACTCTCAAACTTTATTGGGCTCCACCCCAGGAAGCCATCAGCTAAATATTAAGATTCTATACCTTTTAGTTCTTCAGTAGAAGTCGTTTGAAGTTGTTGACATATTTGACCCCTGTGACCTTGAAAGAAGGTCAAGGTCATTTTTGTTCTCAAACTTCTTCAGGCACCTACCAACAAAGCGTTCAGCCAAATATCACGACTTTAGGCCTGTCCGTTTTTCAGAAGAAATTGTTTAAAGGAAAAGTTGACGGACGAGGACGGACGATGGACGGACGAACGACGGACGTCGCACCATGACATAAAATGAAAGGCTCATTTGTTATCTTCAAAGGACAGGTATCACCGTAGCGATTGGTCAGTCTTTTTTTGTTACCAGAGACCAATTAAACAGCTATCTTCGTGCCTTCAATTTTGCTATGACATATTCCAGGGGTGCAGAGAGCAAAATCGAGCGTTACCCCTGGATATCGGGGATGCATTTAATAGGGCTGCAATGATATATCGTATCGTGAAACTCTCTTGTGTATCGTATCGAATTGTTTTGTTTGCCTGTATCACAATACACTAACAATACTGAAACTATCAATCAAACTTTTATCAAAGTCTAAAAAAGTTTAATTCTTCTTTTGATTTGGTTCACTGTGCAGCCATACCCAAAAGTACTTAAAATCATACAAAAATATATTTCGAGAGATTTATTATTGAAGTCTGAAAAAGTGATGTCAAGTTAACATTTTTTGGGTGTTTTGTACTGTAAGGTCCTCACATCGAGAACTCGGGTATAACAACAAAACCACAGTACACACTAATGAGCACAGGGACCTGATAATTTGTTATAGCTATATTTGGACCAAACAAAGGTGTTCAGAGTAATTTTACATGTTTAAGGGGTATATATGATCATCGGGGATGTCATTTTCACCGAAAGTCGATCTAAACCCTAAAACTTGTAAAATATAGCTGTAACAAATTCTCAGGTCATTGTGCTAATGAGTATAACAAAACATCTATTTTAATATAAGCAAAGAAAAAGCATTTTCCCTACGAGATCATAATGGCGACCTACCCATATGACATAACAGATTGCTGGTTGGCTTATTTTTAAACGGACATGATTATGCCAACCCCGCTTACCAAAACTGCCATGCCTTGTTAAACCTCTAACAGTGTTGGATTATATGGCAACCATAAAACTTGTCACTAGTCTTCCTCAATCGTCAATTTTTAGAAACCACGTTGTAAGTTTGTCAGTCAGTAGTCGACATCTTTCACGGAAGTCACGGGAATCAAGACATGCAGACATCGTAGGAAGGAGTAACGGATGTTACTATCAAGAAAGGGAAAGTACACTATCATAACGATATCGTACAGCTTAATAGCAAGCCTTTCATGTTGATCTTGCTGTAAATAAAGATTGAGGAAAGCAACTGAAGCATAGAAGTCTGACATGTCGTGGATTTCAAGCTCATGAAGGTATATTTATTGTAAACCCACGGTCATATAAAGACATTAAGCAGCAGGACTATCAACATTTGCTATTGTTGGTATTCTGCACTATACTGGACTGTTTACATAGGTTATATTCGTTGTACTTTATATACGAAATTGTCACCCTCCATTAGTGTTAGTATTCTGTCCCATCGTAGACTGTCACACGTGGTTACTGTTAGTTATCTCTCCTATACTGCAATGTCACCTATTGTTAATGTTGGTACTCTGTCCTTTCCGGGACTATCAACCGTGATTACTGTTATTACTCTGTCCAATACTAAACTATCTCCTGTGGTGAATGCTAGTACTCTGTCCTATACTATCAACCGTGGTGAATGTTAGTACTCTGTCCTGTATTTGAATATCACCATGGGCGCTGTTAGTACTCTCTCCTTTACTAAACTATCTCCCTTGGTGAATGTTAGTGCTCTCTCCTGTACTTTCTCCCGTGGTGAATGTTAGTATTTTGTCCTTTATTTGAATATCACCATGTGCACTGTTAGTACTCTGTCATATAACGCACCAAGGTTTTGGGGCGTTGCGTTCCGTCTAATTCACCGACCTGCGAGAATCCTTAAAATTATACCGGCCGCTACCGGAAATAATCAAGGGGGCTTCTGGGATACAGCAATTTTGTTCCCGACTTCAGCCAGGTAAGCAGCACTTTTTTAGCTGTCTAAATCCAATTAATTAATTACTCTATGTCGCCCATCTTTCCAGAATCCGGGGTTGTAAACATTTACTGAACATTTATTGTTAGGTCCTCGGTAGTATTTTTGTACTATGGCGTTAGTTTAATAGGGAAATAGCGAGGTGAACTTAGAGATATTTTTGCGGGAGACATGCCGGTCATCATACCGTTTGAAGGAGAGATGTATTGTATTCTCCGCCCTTTATGTTCTGGGCATGCCGTGGTTGTGTCCAGTGGCGGATCCAGAGACCTATCTGAGGGGGTTTCCAAATTTCCTTGGGGGGG